ATGAACCATTTTGTGAAAAAAAAATCATTCATCTATTGTTTGGTATTTAAAAGTTTTCAAAAAAGATTTATACAATTTTTAAGAGGTTTAAAACTTATTTATTATCCTTAAAATTTGAACTTGCGGATAATATTTCAAACGAGATATAAAATACACAATGTTATTCTAGTAGTAAAAATGGAGCTCCCTTCTGTAGGAATCGCCTACCTTATCTCCGGAATAAAAGCTATTTTTACCTAACTACAATGCACGTTTTCTATCAATTTATTTTTAAAAATTTAAGTAAAAATATTCCTTTTGTTTATCAAAACATTTTTTTTAAATTCGCTAACAGCAAAAAAACTTTTATGATAACGATGAGTAGAAAAATATGATAAAATGGGTTTGGCATTAAAATGAGCTTTAGATTGTACAATCAGTTTACATAAAATCTGCTGAAAATCGGCTTAAATTAGAAGTTACTTGGTAGTTGAGGTTTCAAAAGGTGAAGACTCATTTTAGTAACCTAGTTAATGAGCATATATATAACTCATATATTCTGAACTCATATATTCTATACTCATATATTGTACTGAACTGAGACTTACTATTTAATTTAGTTTAGATTTTTAACCTATTGTATAAATCTTAATAAGAACATATAAATTAAAACTTTTAATATAATTGTTTCAAAGTAAACTCACTTTCTGATCCGGATTTTGATGTCTGGATGTAATTTTTTGTTTCTCCTATGCGCAGTTTTTTATACATTTCTTTACCATTATCTTTGAAACCCTAGCTCTACCTCAAAAGTTGATTTAGTGTAAATTACACTTTCAAGGATAGTTGCGTGGGATGTTTACTACTGTACAGAAAGCATGTAAACTGAATGGAAAAGAATATACCATTACCTGGAATACCTTTCAGAAATGTCAACCATTAAACGCTACTCATATTTTGATAACGTACTGCTAGACAGTTTTTCATTCTTCTTTTCCTTACTTCTGAATAGTGCTCATATTTCTGAATACACTTTTATTTACAGTACATTACTAAATATTTTATTGTATGAAGTTTGTCTAAAACTGTCTTTAAATGTGTTTGAATAACTTCGGAAATTTCTACTCATTCTGATGCATTCAACTAAGGATTTTTTTTTCGATGTGCTTTTATAAAATCTTTGAAAGAAAACGTTAAAAACAAAAACACCCATAATTATAGAGAATATTTCTGCATTTTGGTTAGTAGGAAGTGCAAATTATTCAGCGTAATACATCAGATTTTTTGAAAAATGGTTCTTCTTTTGAAATTCAAGCATAATTTAGTTAATAATTTATCACATAGAAAAATCACTTTTTAAATTTGGCCTAAAAGTATGACTTCCTCTAATGACACGCACAGCTTTAAGACGAAAAACAGATAACTGCTGTACTTGTTTGACCACATCTTTCATTACTACTCTCACAGCAAAAAGGAATGTTTCTGAGATCATATAGCGCCTGTGGGAACAGTTAGATTAATGCAATATTTTTATCTTGTCTCCAAGAGATAAAGGCACATGGTATAAGAAGCAATGGTCTAGACAAGTTTTGGGAAGCAGTCAGTTCCTTGAAAGTGAGGCAATGTCCAGAAAACAGCTCTTTCAAAACATAACGTTTTAGGAATATTCTAAGCAAATGATTTGTGATGTCATGCCAAAAGTGTTCGAAAAAAGGTTGGTTTTCTGTTTGTTTAGATATTGTTTATATATACAGATTCAGAGCTGAGGAGTTTCTGAAAAATAGTTGAGAAGTTGGGATTTTTATGAAAACAGTTTCAGTTTAATGGATTGAAAGATTTTACAAACATTAAATCATGATTTATTTATCATTACTTTAAATACGAAATTTTTTATGGTACTCGTAAATTAAGCTGGCAAATTCAAAACTAAAATATATCACGGCTATACGTGCAAATTTCTTCAAGATATTCGAAAACGAATTTCAAGACATAGGTCAAGTTTCGAGACACATTTATGAAGGAATTTTATAATATTTTTGACCGAATTGATAAAGTAACTAGAATTTCGATATTTAATATTTCTGTATTTTATGAAACTGCATTAAAATTGTTACCAGCAGCATGAAAATATTAATTGCATATATTTTTGCGAACTGTATGCATCAGGGATGAAACGTTTTGAATTTAAGTTATTCTAGCATAATAAATGTTTTAAGAATGGAAAATTATTTTCTTCAGAGATCATATACAAATTTAAATTTTATACTTGAAGGATCCTCCCATGTTTTCATGTATAAAAACCTCTACTTTATTTTTAAAAACTTAGTGGCTGCAAGTAGTTTTGATGTTTCCTTGAAGAAGCGTATCTGATTCTTACGAAACGAGACTTAAAAAGTTTGAATCCATTCTCAACAGTACATTGCGAATTTGGATTTTCATAGTTAGTAACAATTAAAACGCAAATCAAAAACTGGCTGGATATCCAGCATGACTTGTCACGTACCGGACCACAGATAAGTATCCTTATCCAAGATAAACAGCGACAGCTTTCTATTTGCTATGTCTGTTACAAATAGAATGTAACTAGTAAGCTTCTTATATTCTACATACATTTGCAGATATTAGTAATTATTTTCATTTAGTTCAACAAAACATCTTCTGTAATTTTAATTTGTGTGTTTAAAAATATCATTCGTGAAGTGTGTCCATGGCTTTTCCATTACTGTCTAATGGATTCATGGAATACACAGTTTTAAGAATGGTTTAGATCAAAATAGTAATTTGGTTAAGAGACGTAAAATTGCATTGAACTGAAGGCAATACAATCATGTTAGGTAACTGCAAATATTTCTTTCGTACTAACGTACAGCGATCAGAATAGGCATGTTTTCCTGTATTCTTATTTTAAGAAGAGCAACGGAATAAATATGTATCAAATATCCTCCTACTTATGAAACCACTGAGCGTGAGTTTGAAATTCCCAACAAAATTCTCCGTTCAGCTCAAAGCTAAAATGGAATTATTGATAAAATTCCACGCGTCGAAAAATGCATTAGCCTTTCGCTTTTGAAATCATCTGTTATATTCGCTTTCAAGCTTTTAGAGCATCTGGCATCATGAGCGAGTGATGTGGCTTGTTCCCTGCACGAAACGCGATTGAATCGGAATATTTTTGGGAAGTTGTCTGATATGCACGTTCGATTGAATTTTCTTTAAAAATTGGCTTCACGTTTCCAGATAGTAGTTTTGACTAGCTTAAGGCATGTGGGAATATGCATTGGTATTTTATTTTGGAAATGAGATCATTCCGTTGCTGAATATATTTCATAGTTTTAGAGAGATTTTGAGCAATGTGTTTATTACAAAATGTTGTCTTTTCATAATTTATTATTGTCATTTGTTTAAATGCTGTTCAGAGAATGAGAGAATACACTTCTGCTGTTTCCTTGCAATCAAAATGTTTCACATCAATTCAGCTGCCAGTAGTTCTAGGGTTTGTCTTTTGATATTTCATAGAATGCTTAGAAAATGTGTGAATATTAATCGTTTTAACTTCGTCCTCCAGCTTTTGCTCAGGCAATCTACATATTGCTTAGGCATTCAGTACAATGGTGCTTTCATACATTGCTAGTAATATTTGTACAATAAACCTTTGCCGAACGCGGAGGTTACACGATTAATAAATTGCGCGTGCGGCAAAATCGCGTTCCAGTAAAGAACTTTACAAGGATAACATGTGTCAACGAAACACATGTGAATAGATGGTATTTTGTTATTGCTAAATCAATTCAATCAAAAATGTGTCATAACAACTGGTGATTTAAAAGTTGGTGTTTTTTACTTGGGACTATGACTGAATAGGTCAATCTCCATTGCAGAATCAGGACAGTTCCTATTTTTTTTTAACAATTCTTTAACTGCTTGTATCTAAAGGCTGTCTATCTTTTCTTTATTATTACTGATTTCGCTATCGGCTGGTGTTATGAAATCATCCAGTTCTTCATACATCATTTTTCTCTTAATTCTTTTGAGTTTTTCCATAGCTAAATATCCTTCACTGCCATTTGTTTTTGCAGCTTGTACAAATTAATTTTCAATGGATGTAAATCCGTTAAAATTGTTGGTAACTTTTGGCCAGGCTAGATCCAATCAAGCATCTGGTTTTAATTAAGAAATATTGTATCGCGTGTGTATAAAATTGTAAGGTTGGACAAATTAAATGAAAACGATTAGGATATTGCGTATATATGAGATCGCATTCAGCATATCCGCTGGGGGTTTACTGTATTACTTCATGTTTACATTATCTTTCTCAAAATTCTTCTCATCCTCTCCCTGATTTTAGATTAAGCATATACATGTAAGTTGGGATGGTTAAAATTTGGGAAGAGCGCTGTAATTTATAAAATATAATTATTAGCTTTAGCAACAATAGAAAGATTCTAATTTATACTTATAAACTGATTTTGTTTTTAAAATAAGCAGGAGGAATAATTTATATGCTTAAATGTAAATTACGTTTTTTTAGAACTTTCAAATACTCGAGTGTTGCTTTATTTTGACATAATTAAATTTTACTGTGAATTTATACTTTAATTAAAAGTATGTAAAAAAAAGTCAGCGTTTAGAAGACGTAAGATAGCATCCTGACTGGTAAGATCGTCGTAATTATTTCGTGTTCAGAATAAATCCTTAATTAAGAGAAAAATAATAAAAAATATAGCAGTTGCAACAAATTTAATTTCACATTAATTAATTCTCTTCCATTTTCTTAAGTCAATTTCATTACAGTTCTGCTTTATCTATTTTAATTTTTCTGGGAGATGGTACCTGCTAGTTTTACAGTGCCTTAAAAATCTTAAATAAACAAAACAGAATGCATACGTTATATCCAGTTATTCAAGTAATTTATTTAATTTTTTTCATTTAAAGTTAATTAATTTCATAAAGTTCTCTCCGCAGCTAAACGAAGAATCGAAGTATTATTTTCTAAATGATCTATCATCGCTTACTTTTTTTAGGGAAAGGTCCACCAATGCAAGACGATTCTCTTACCAAAGAATTAGATGGAGAAGTTGAACCACCTATACAGCGCCCTAGTGTATCAGAAGGTAATAATGTAGTTAATAAAACTTCAAAATATATTCTTACGTAATTCTTACTGTTTACTTTTGTATAGAATTATACATATTTCGTACATTAATTTCGTGACTTCTTCGTAAAGATTTCAGCATATTTTTTATAAATAAGAATAATTCAATATTAGAATCAAGTTTCCTGAGTGCCGGGAATGCGTGGGGCGTGATGTATCATGAAACTTACGAATGGCATGATGCATTATGAAACTTAGCCAATAGCCAACTTGATGCCTACGGAATATCTGAGCTTGTGTTTATAGTACGATTATTTGAATGGTTTAAAATTGAACTACAAACTTGTAAAATTTCGGTAGGTTTAAAGCAGAGTACCTGCTATGGTATCCTTCCAGCATAAGGGATATTCTCACGGAATCTTAAGACTGAGTAATGCTATAAGTCTTTTTCAATTGTTTGTAACTTTGCGTAAATGACAAAGAAAACTTTCGAGATGGTGTTTCACATCGCTTGATGACCACTGACCAAAAAAAAAAAAGAGTGACATGCCTTAATGTTAAGCAAGAAGGCGTTGAGATCGGTTTGAAAAAAACTGCTTTGAACGATCGTTGGGTGATCTTACAATTAAAGGTAATCTTGATTTGCTGGACTGTAAATTATTTTTCAATCTGCAAATATATTGTGCGCAAATGAAATGTTACACTTTTTAATTAATTATGTGTGGAAAGGGGCTCGGTATCTACCTCCTTTAGTAAAGTGATAAATTTATGGATTTATGGAGGATTTAGAACAAAAAATTACGGTTCATATTATAGTTGCAGTTGGGGCTATAAACAAACCTTTATGCTCGGAACTGCTGGAAATTGGAATGAACTACTACTGAAGTAAAAGATGACACAAATTTAACAAAAACCTCTTTATTCTTTATCAGGATCACGTTTAGCTTGCATAATGCATGATGGCTCGAAATTAATATTTAATTTAGCCCCCCCAGAGGGCATGCAAAAACGTTTCGCACGAAGGATCAAGCAGGAGATAGAGTGCGCCATTCGAAATTATTGGCTTAAAAGGCATTAAGATAATATCTCTTGCTTCAACATTTATTATTTAGTAACTATTAGGAATTTATCGCATTATCATAAAATACTTTTAACATTAAATTTCAATAACATGTTTTACAAATTTACTTTTTTATGAGATTTTACCTAGTTTTTATGATATTTTACCTAGTTTCCTTTCCAATATTAAGTGTAACATTTTACTCAAATTTACTACTGTGCTAGATTTGAGTATTTATTTCTCCTGCATAAATCCTAATCAGGCGTTTGCAGTAAATTATAATGATGAAATTAACGAATTACACTGTTATACTAAATTAAAATGTGAATGAGTTTTAAATCCGTATTTGTAACAATAATGCGCATTTAACATTTTTTGTACAAACATCACGTAGAAAATGTTTTTATCCTTGCTAATAGATCGAAAGTTGGAGTCATGACGCTAAAATGCATTAGTTTTATTAAACAGCATTATTTATTAACAGCATTAGTATTTAATAAACAGCATTAGTATTCGGAAATAGTGAACAGTCTATAAGGAATGCCAAGTTAGAACTTTAAATTTGCCAGGAATACATACGCAAAATTAACTTTTCTCATGTAATGGAAAATGTCAAGCTAAAGATACTTAGTTGAGGGAACACTTCAAAAGTACAGCATTTTTTGCGCAGAAAGGAAATTATAATGTGAGTCTCTTAAATGCATTATCTTCTGTTTAAAGCGTTCTGAATAGCTTCCAGAAAATAATGTTCACGGAATTTAAAGGAACGAGGAGTAGCATTGTAATAAATTATAAAACCTTCATAAACTTTAAATTCCCATTTACGCTCTACCTGTCGACACTAGCAATCTCCCCTATGCAAAAGGGAGAAACAATTTATTACAAAAGCCTTTTTTTACCACGACGAGTGTAATCTAGTTTTATAGCGAGGTAATAGAACTTATTCCATTAGAACAAAATGGAAAGTAATAAATAACGAAAATATACCAATTATATAAATTTTGTAAGAATTCGTGTGCGTTGAATAATGCTAATAATAGTTTAATCTGAATTGCTATCTGAATATATTGTCAAAGTGAAGTATTTACAATGAGCATCAACATTTCGTATAACACACAAACACACACGCATATATATATATAAAGAAATATAATAGTAGGCTAATGATTAAAAACAAAATTATGGATACATTTGAGATTCGATTTTTCGGATGTATATGAATTTTAAATGTCTTAAATAAAGTTTTAAATGAATCTTTTTTCGTTTTTTGATCTCAAATGAACCAGAGAACGAAGCATGTTAATCGACTTTTATGAAACTTAGCTCATTTTTCCCTGATTAGTTCTGAATTGGAGTTTCAGTAAAAGGAGATTAATTTTAATAATTTTATAAATTTGTATGTTTTTATTTTTAGAGTTCGTTCTACTAATGAATACTTATTTTAATTTGATATGTTTAGATATTGTGTTAAACCTCTTATTTATGGTTGTAATTATTAATATTGTTGCGGGCGTACCGGTTCGTTACGAAATGAATGCACAAGTCCGATGAAAAACGAACAAAAATTTATTATTATCACAAAATGCTTCCCTAAGATATTCTTTCAGTTTTACAATATCTCACAGTAGTTATCTTTTAACTACTCAAATGTTCAATAGAACGTAATTCAAAACAGCTAAAGAACGCTAATCCGCGAATTCGCTACAATCAACAAGAGCAGTTTTCTAAACAAACTCTTAAAAACAAGCAAACTACTAAAATCAACCGAACTGAGAGGTTTTCCTCCTTATTTATAGATTTTAAAATCACGCGCGAGAATTTTCTGGAACTCTCTCGTAATCAAAAAGATATATTTATTTATTAAATGTAAAATGCACGCGCTCTTGTATTTTTAATTTTCCGGCTTAGCTTTCTTTTAATATTCGTCACGCGCTGCACTGCGCGGGAAATAAAACAATTTTATTTATAATTCAACTAACATTAGCTATTCGAATACCAAATCCGTAACACTGCCCCCTTCCCAAGGATTGCACATCCCAGGCAGTACAGTCCCTGGAAAGGGACCCAAACTTACAACTATGACATAAATGCAATTATAAGCATTACATTACAATAACAACAACAAAAAAAAAATGAACAATAAATACAATAACTATAAACAAATCAAATGCTACCAAATACTAGAAATACTAAATACAAATCAAATACTAAATACAAATCAAATCAAATACACATTTAGAAACAAAAAGGACCATGGTCTTACACTATTTACAATTATTTACACTACGTACTGAGGCCATAGTAAATGAGCTAACCTGTCGTAATAAACGACTTTAGGTTTAGAGTTCGAAGACTCACGAATCCGAACCACGACGTCATTCAGCCTGTTTAGGACTGTGTACGGGCCATCCCAAGGTGACTGTAATTTCGGACAAAGTCCTTTCCGTCGAGTCGGATTCCACAACCACACCTTGTCTCCTTCGTGGAATTGATGTTCAGTAGTAGCTCTTGTGTCGTATCGGGTCTTCATCTTCTCCGTCGCCAAGTTGACTCGCTCTCGTTGCAAAAAGTTGTGCATCACTTCAAACCGGGCCTGGAGATCTTGAATATATCCTCAGACGATGAAGGAGCATCCGGAGGGCGACCAAACAATAGATCACAAGGCAGACGAAGGTCACGACCGAAGAGCATCTGTGATGGAGAATAGCCGGTAGTCTCGTGGACAGCACTGCGGTAAGCCAGTAAAAAAAGTGGTAATTTCTTGTCCCAGTCCTGTTTTTCTGGAAACCACTAATGAGAGGTTATTAAGGATGGTTCGATTGAACCTCTCTACCATGCCGTCCGACTGGGGATGCAATGGCGTCGTTTGAGTTTTGTCAATGCCGAGTAGTTTGCATAGTTCTTTGATTACTGCCGAGGTAAAATTCCTTCCCTGATCGGAATGTAACTGAAGAGGCACTCCGAACCTGGAAATCCAGTGCTGTATCATTACCTCAGCTACTGTGACAGCCTCTTGATCAGGAATAGGATAAGCTTCAGGCCACTTGGTGAAGTAATCAATGACAACGAGTATGTATTTGTTGCCATCAGCAGTTCGTGGCAGAGGTCCTAAGATGTCAAAGGCGATACGTTCAAAAGGCGCACCCTACGTTGTAACGTTGCAGCTTGCCTCGGCTGCGTTTCCTCGGTCCTTTCCCGACCTGCACAGGCATCGCAAGATCGGCACCACTTTTGCACGTCATCCTTTGCATTATTCCAGTAAAAGCGCTCACGAACTCTCTGCAAGGGTCTTCATTATTTCAAACTGGACATCAAATCATCTCCGATCTCGAATTTCCGGTATAAGACGCCGTTTCGTTTCGAATGTGAAGTGAATCCCAGAGTGCCCAATATTGTTTTGTTGTAGGACTACAGATAGAAATGTCCTGCCAGGTAGGTTTTCTGTTTGATGACTCCATTAAATCAATTATGGGTTTAATGTCCGGTCTTCCAGCTGGTCTTTCTTGACTTCATCATCACTCCACGAGTCTCGAACAGCCGATGTTGATATTATAATTTGTCTTGCGACCGGAGTCAGTAGCTCGTATTTCGGTTCAACCCTGGAACAATATCGGCAACATTCTGGGCAAGGTCTTCTAGACAAGGCGTTGGCGTTGGCGATCCCTTACGATGACGGATAGTGATGTCATATTCTTGGAGTCTCTGTATCCACCTGGCTATTTGACTCCTTGACCTCCGATCTCCAGGATTCTTGAAATTTAAAAGCCAGGCCAATGAGGCATGTTCCGTGCGGAGCAGGAATTTTTCTGCCGTATAGATAGTGATGGAAATGTTCTACAGCTTTGAACTATGGCGAGCAACTCTTTTCCTGGTGACACAGTAATTCCTCTCCGGTTTAGACAGGCACTTGCTCCAGTATGCTACTACACGTTCTTGGCCGTCTATTTCTTGGGACAAAC